CGGGTCGGGGCACCGGGCTCTGCCGCGGGACCGTCACCGGGGCTGAGCCCACCGGTTTTGTCTTGCAGAGGCCAACCAGCGGATGGGGGTGATCGGGGCAGGAGCCCTCCTGGCGCTGCTGCTCATCCTCCTGCTCTCCCTGCTCTGCTGCTGCTGCGTCTGCCGCAAGAAGGACGAAGCCCGTGGGTGAGTGCCGGGGCCGGGGGGGCTCTCGCTGGGTTCTGCCACAAGGCCTGAGAAGGGGGGGAACCTGCGGGGCTGGGGACATCGGTGCCAGTTGGGGTGGGATGCAGGGACTGCACCGAGACAGCGGCGCTGCAGGGAAACTGAGGCAGAGCAGCGCTGCCCGCATGGCACCGTGGGGGTCCCCAGGGTCTGAGCAGGTCCTGCTGTGTTCTCGCAGCGGGGGGGCTGATGGAGGGGCTCGGAGTAAGCCCTGCCTGGGGACCCCCCTCTCCTCACCTTCGTTTCTCTCTCTTGTGAGCCATCACTTCATGGAGACCCACCAGGTCCCCTCCAACCTCCAGGGGCTGGACCTGCTCTGCAAAGGGAACCCTAAAACACAGTGAGGGCTTCAAGTCACCACCAGGACCCCCAAAACTAACCCCTGGGCTGTGGGGTGAGACCTGGGGGAGGGTGACGGGCTGCAGCGCTGCCAGCTGTCCTGCACGGGGACGTTTGGGCAGGGGAAGGTGAAGTCCATTCCCGCAGTGAGGTCAGGGTGCCGGCAGCATTTTGGCAGCACCAGGGGACATCCCACCATGGGGACAGCCCCACTGCAGGGGGAGGAGGGCTTCTGGTGCTGAGCAAGGGATGAGCGGGCTGTGGGAGCTCCTTGGGCTGCAGAGATAAGCCTCCCCTCGTGCCACCGGCCGCTGCAGGGGAATTTTCCAGAAGCCTCCCCTTGCAGCCCTGCCAGCTCAACCCCAGTCCAGCACATCTGGCTTGGGGAGCCTGGGGGCTGCGTGTAATTATCCCGCTGATAAAAGCACAGACGCAGCCCCGCGTGGTGAAGTATCGCACAGGGAAGGGGGGAAATGGCTCAAAATAGTTTCCTCTCTCCCGGGGTGCCCGGACCCCCGCGATGTCCCCAGACAGCTGGGTCACCCCTGGTGCTGGCCCAGCGGCAGTCCCTTGCCGGAGCATCCCGAGGGACCGCAGCGGCAGCGGTGGGCATGTCACAGGTTGCCTTGCATCAGCGCACACAGCCGCTCACTCCTGCGGCTGCAGATAATTGCTTGAAACCTCGGCCCCGGGAGGCTTCAAAACCAGAGAGCAAATAAAGAGAAGCCGCGTGTTTGTTTTGGGGTTGAAATGATTTTTATTTTTCCAAAAAATTCAGGGTCTTGGCCTGGTGTTGCGGGTGTTTTGGGGCCGGGCTGCCAACGGCCATGGCCAGACCTGGCCTTGCCACCATCCCCTGGTACAGCGCAGTGCGAGCTGGTGCCCGGGGCTGGCAGCAGCCGTGGCGGGTCCCCGGTCCCCGGTCCCCTGTGCCCTGGGCACCCCCCTGCTTTGATCTGCCCCGTTCTCTTTCCCGAAAGCCCTTTGCATTTGCAGCATCCCTGAGCTCTCGACTCTCTCTCACACCCCATGAAAGCTGTCCCCACCGTGAGGTGGGAGCGGGTGCCTCTCTGATGGGACCCGTCGCCTTCTCTTGCAGCTCCAGCCAGGACCCGGCAGCAGCCAAGAAGCCACCGAGACGCTTGTGCGGGCGTTTCAGTCGCATCGGCATGAAGCTCCCACGCATCCCCCTGCGCCGCCAGAAGTTGCCCAAGGTCGTGGGTAAGGTGCTGGGGTCTGGGGAGGGGGCAGAGAGCCAAACCCTGGGGGGCTTTCCTCCTGGCAGGGCAGCGCATGTGACTCGCAGCATCCTTTCTAGCCCCAGACGCCGGGCAGTGAGCACGGCAGAGCGGTGACAGGGACACACTGGGTCCCCAGGACCGTCGCGGTGCTTGGTGCCAGCTGCCCGGCTCCGAGGGGCTCAGCCCTTTCTCAGTCTGCAGCTTTTGGATCTCAAGGCGCATGGTTTTGCTGTGCGAGGGTGGGTACCTGGTGCCTGGAGCTGTGCTGAGCTGGTTTGCGAGGTTTTTAGGTAGAGGAACGGTCCCCGTTGTGGCAGCAAACCGCCTCGTTTGCCCTTTTGGTCCTAATCCTGTCCCGGCTTTGCGTGGGGCCAGAGCATCCGAGCCGGGGCCAGAGCCCACCCTGCTGCCACGTGCAGTGGAGATGGAGACTAAGGTGTGGAGGCTTTGGGTGATCCCCCCCGTGCTGCCCCGGCACAAACTGGGCTCGGAGGGGGATGCTCACACCCGGCAAAGCCTCTGACGGGAGGCGGTCGGGGATGTCGGGGACCCCCTGCCTGCAGGCAGCTGGGGAACGCTGTACCCCGCACGCTCTGAGACCTCCCTGCGCTCATCCCAGCGCAAGAAGCTGGGGATCTGCTGGATAAATTGGAGAGGGGGGGGTGAAGGCAGAACTCCCCACCCTGCACCGGCATGGGGCTCAGCCCCGTGCCCCTCGCCCCGATCCCTGCACCTCCCCGGGTGGGCAGCACTGGCGGGGGGCCC